TGAAATATCAGAGATCTTCACTGCCTGTTAGATATACGATATGAAGTGGGTTTCAGATCAGACAAAAAGCACTGCATTAAAGTCTATTTCCTTCCGCCATGTCTTTAAAATATAATAGTTTTGTTTTACCCCAATATTTTGGTTGTTGCTAGATAGGATACAGTTGCGGCAGAAAGTTAACGAAAATTATTTTCATTATTTAAATTTCACATTTGTTGTATTTTATCAACGTCTACCCCAACCCAACTTAAACCCAACAGTCACAGTAACATACAGTAGAATTTTTTAGCTGTTTATTAAATTACCCAATAATTTGTATTTTTTTCTACCCCCACCCAACCCTAAACCCAACCATCACAGAACTGTAAAGATATAAATTATTTATATATATTTATTCATTCATTTTCTTTTTTGGCTTAGTCCCTTTATTAATCAAGTTTTACGCAGCAGATGCCCTTCCAAATGCAACCCATCACTGGGAAACCCACACACACTTATTCACACTCATACACTAGAAAATTTTTAGCGTACCCAATTTCCCTATAGCGCATGTGTTTAGACTGTGGGGGAAACCGCAGCGCCCAGAGGAAACCCATGCGAAGACAGGGAGAATATGCAAAGAAACACCAACTGACCCAGCCGAGGCTTGAACCAGCGACCTTTTTGCTGTGGGGCAACAGCACTCCCTAATGCGCCACTGTTTCGCCTATTGTTATATAGTGTCATAAATGCTGCTAATTGATGTGCATAGCGCGCATCCGGCCGCGTGTCTGATCTAGGCTTTACCCGCAGTATTTTCAATGGAATTTCTGCACTAGCCTATTACTACTGACAGCGCTTGTGGTTACACCATCATTCATCTAATTTTTCGCTTGAACAACTAAATGAATGCTTAAATCTATTTAACTGAATGTATTGTAATTACGTTACAACATTGATGATGTAAAAATAACCTTGTGAAATTGAAAATACTCACATTGAGCTGTCAGTTTATTAGAAGTTTACCGTTGGGTTGAAAACTCTAGCTGTGCATAGAGCCCATTGTGCATAAACAAATTTGCTCCAAATCCCCGTTAATATCTAATCTTGTGCTAACTAACATTAGCAATGTTACAAACACAGATGGGAAAGTTGCTTCCAAAATGTAATACATTATATATTAAAAGTTACTGTCATGTTTTTTTTGTAATTGATTACATTACAATATTAATATCTCAGAAATGCATTACACTACTTTGTATTACTTTAAGGTTACTTCAACCAAAATAACCATAATAAAGTATGACTCTTATGAATTAAAGTATGAATTTTCAATATGATTCCAAATACATTTTGCTATTAATTGTAATTATTCTGAAAGATTTTTGTTTGCACAAGGAGTCTAACAGCCTGTGCTCCACACAGAGATCTGATCATTTATTTGACATATTTTCTTTTAAATATATATTCATAGTGCTTCACCTTTTACACATTATATATATATATATATAGCTTTGCATGTATGGCTATGACTGTGTACTAACCTTAATCACTTCTGAAGAGGACTTTTTACAGTAAAAGGTAGCAATTTTATTTTATCTAATATATGTATTTATAATATCCACAGATTTTTATATAGTCAATCAAATGAACTTAAACTATTAAAAATGCAACAAACATTTGTTTTGGCCCAAACTACAAAAACAAAATAATTTAAAACAGTTTTAGTATTGGTTTTGCTTAAGTTGCACACTAGTTTGATAATGTATAAATGTCATTATAACTATATTGTATAAATCTTAATAAAAAGGCTTACATCATGCTGACAATTAAAAACTAAACGACATGACATAACAGGCGATTGTCCTCTGTATAAAGCTTCAGCTCTCATTGCGCGTGCAAAAAAAAAGTCTCCCCGCATCCATCACAGTCTTTATCATTTCATGTGTGCGCTGCTTTGTTTACCGCATAGTAATGATCTTTATCGCGGATCAAGTGCAGTGAAGTGTCTCAGACAACAAGCGCAAGCCGCGGTTGCGTCACAACTTTTATAGCAGGAGAAAACAAATACTATGGAAGTCATTAGATACAGCTATACCGCATTCTTACAAATATCTTCTTTTGTGTTCAACATAAGGAAGAGAATCAAACATGCTTAGGCCTATTACAAGCAAGGACGAGTAAGTGACACGAGTAAGTGACAGATGTGTCAGTTTAGGGCTTTAGGCTGCCATGGCAACCATATACAATGCACACTGTGGGATTTGCGCAATAGGACACATGTCAGCGTAAGATCTACGGAAGATGATCAAACTTTAGCGTTAGTGAATAGATTTTATATTCTAACAAGTGCAAACATTACATTAAACAAGGGATTGGAGATGCTTTTATACTAAGCATTCTAAACTGTCCCCATGTAGCTTACCTTGTCATTGTTGGGGTTGATAGGCATTTTGCTGATAAACTTTCTAAACTCCGGCGACAAATCCAACTCCAGCAACAGTGAATAGACCAGTTTCCGCAGATATTTCTCACGCTGCTGCTGCAGTGACGTGGTTTCCGGGCGCAATTTCCTTTTTCTTTTTCTGTTGCATTTCTTTATATATTTATTTTTTACTCAGTAACGCATATGATTTAAAATGTAGCAAAGTACAATACTTTAGACAAATAATACTTAAGTAAAAGTAAAATTACAGATTTTAAACACTACTTTAAAAAGTAAAAATTTTCAAAAAAACTACAGTTTTAGTAGTAACGTGAGTACAGTACAGTAACGTGAGTAAATGTAATTCGTTACTTTCCACCTCTGATATATATATATATATATATATATATATATATATATAGCCCAGCCCAATATTTTAAATAAGTGGGTTTAAATAAAATACAATTTTATTTAAACCCATTTTATTTAAATAAAATACAAAGATCGTTGGCTGTGCAAGAGCAACATCTCAGCTATAGCCAACTCATTTACGAGCCAAGAGTCAGTTGCGTCGCATTTTTTGCTATTTACATAACGGAATTTGTAAGTGGAAAAACACAAATTTCTAATGTTTTGCTCTGGAACAACTTCAACATAGAAAAAGTAAACGTAAATTGAGGAATTAAACTCCATGTTATATAGATTTGAGGTTTCAAGTGATTTAAGGCTGATTTATACTTCGGTGTCAAACGCCGGCGTATGCTACGGCGCTGACGCATAGTCCTTCGCCGTGGCCGTCGCTGACGTGCACCTCTCAAAAAATGTAACTACACGTCGCAACGACGCGTAGCGCAAGCTCTGTGATTGGTCGGCTTGATATCGATGACGAGCCTGGGCGGGACTGAGAGCCACGTGAATGGTGCGAGCCTGATGGAGCGATTGTTTACAAGTGTGGAGTCCCGTGAAGGAGCTCCGGATGGAAAGTTTTGTTTTGTGTTTACCTCAGTTAAAGTTGTTGCACGTCTGCTGGTTCCTGCCTCAAAATGAGCGAGTTTGAGCCACTTGTACATCCCGGAAGTGTTCAGGAAAACAAAACAGCAGCGAAAAAACTCGACACAGAGAAACATTTACATCTCACTGCCAAGTAGCGTTTCGGAAGTGTTAATGCAGACCAAAAGAGACAGCGCGCAGAAGTATAAATGCACAGCTACGCGGGTTGCATGCGCCGTGGGTTACGCCGGTCACTTGATGCAGAAGTATAAACCAGGCTTAAGTGGGGTTGGTGAGAGTTCCTGACAAGCATGTGGAGATAAAAGGCTCTATTTTAACAATCTAGACGCAAAGTCTGAAGCAAAGGGCGCAAAAGCATTAAGGCCATATTCAAATCTACTTTTGCTATTTTAAGGACGGAAAAATCCGCTCTGCGCCGCAACGCATGGTCTAACAGAGTTCAGCTTATTTTCTTAATGAGGTATGGGTGTGTATTGAGAATAAACCAATCAGAGTCTCATCTCCCATTCCCTTTAAGAGTCAGTTGCATTACGCCATGGCGCATTTGCCATTTACATGGCTGAATTTGTAAGTGGTAAAACTGAATGTTTCACTAGCTAGAAAACAGTTAAACAGACCATCTGCAGAGCAAAAATGAGAGATGAGCCTCCTTCAATTGGCCTTTACTTTCACTTTCTTTCGTGGATAAAGAAAAGTGTTGTTCGCACAGACATCTATTAGCCTACATATTTATTTATTTTTGTTAAGTGCAAAGATTTGTTTCAAAACTATTTCTAAATTCAACTGTAATTTCCAGCAAACGAATAAATGAACAGTAACAAAGTGTGGTCAAACAACTGAGTTATATCCGAACACATGCTATGCCCCATATGGTCTATGACTTGACAGGTAGACAAATCTACGCTTGTCTTTAATAAAACAAATATAAATATGCATATAATAAATGATACTACTAATAATACATACACGATACACGAGCGCAAATGCATTTGCTATTTAAACAGCATGGTGCAAAACGTCAAAATGACACTTGCGTAGCGCCATGTGACGGGTGCATGCTAAGGTCCAATGAGTTTGAATTCAGGTTGATGCAGTTATAGTTTTTAAAACTGTATGATATAAATGCGTTCTCGACTTGTAATACTGCGCTTATGAAATTGGTAATTGAAATAACACCATAGGTAGTTGAAAGATCAGTGTAAAAGATCTGCCTCCACAGCTGGAAAAAATCCTATAGGAAACACTGATATATAACTGATTTGATGAAATTCTGATTTGCATGCTATTTTTTCAATTCTTAATTTGATTTTGGTTCATTAAAACAGATAAACAGACCTCTCAAAATTGAATAAAAAAAAAAACTCCAAAAATATATTTGATTCCTGTAATATTTGCTAAACTTGAACATGCTTTTTATAAAATTTTAACATTTCAGCTAATTATAGTTTATGAATACAATGCATACAAATGACAAAAGGGTGTGAAATATATACTTGATCCATCCTTCAAATCAGGACACAAAAGTAAGCACAAAAGTATGAAGTTACTACAAAAGAGATTATCCTCAGGATTTGATGTCTCTCACCTGTTTGTTGGCGAAGATGAGCAGCAGGGCATCTCTAAGCTCTTTCTCCGTCAGCAGTTTGGCCAGCTCACTGTGAGATTCCATCAGCCGGTCTCGGTGACAGCTGTCAATCACAAACACCACCGCTGGAAAGACAAAACAAAAATCCTCAGATTCAGTCATACACACTCAATAATCCATGAATTGCATTAGGAACATATCCACACTGAATACTGCAAGAATATGAGCAGCACATTACCCTGTGTGTTCAGATAGTAGTGTTTCCACAGCGGGCGCAGTTTATGCTTTCCACCCACATCCCAGATGGTGAATTTCAGGTTTTTGTATTCAACGGTTTCTACATTAAAACCTACAAAAGAGAGAGGGGATCATTTATTATCCAGATATACAGTTGAAGTCAGAATTACTATCACTCGTGAATTATTCCCAGTATATTTTTCCCCAATTTCTGTTTAACGGAGAGATTTTTTTCAACACATTTCTAAACATAACAGTTATGGTAACTCATTTCTAATAACATTACTTTTATCTTTGTTATGATGACAGTACATAATATTTTACTAGATATTTTTCATGCTACTAGTATTCAGCTGAAAGTGACATTTTAGGGTTTCTGCAGATATCATAGTGTCAAATCTAAGTTTATTCAATTTAAACAGTACTGAAGACAGGTTAGATGCACTTTTTAAACTACAGGGAAAAAAACAATCATCTTTAGGCTGATTTATACTTTCGCCTGGAGTCGCATCACGCACCTTCACTTCACAAAACACCTTCACAAACGGATGATGCTCAAACGACAGGGGTGGTCAAAAGAAAGCCACCATAAACTCAGACGAATAAACAGAGAAGCAGGAAGTTTCCAGAAATACGTAATATTAATATCGTTTAAGAACTAGTTATTTTTTATTATTTATTATAATGATTATAAAGTTTTTTATAACCATTCAAGATTTTTGTTAAAAACAATCTGTGATGCATCACTTGCTTTTGTTCATATCTCGGACAGTTGTACTTATTTAAGTTTGTTTAAATATTAATGACTACAGAACAAGGGTTGCTCTACAATTCTATTTTTTATTATGGAAAAACCCCCGCAAAATAATAATAATAAAGTACACTTGCTAAAAAAAAAAATACTGATTTTTTTATTTTTTTTTGCTCACTCAACAATTCACACATTACTGGCTGTTTAGTTTCTGTCCTCTACTGATAAGCTAAAAAGACAATAATGTTCCAACAATCCTGACCATTATCACCAATAAAGCCTAGAAAAACAGGGCATCAGTATATTGTAAACTGATAGGTTCAAATATTCTTTTCCAGTTATTAACTTTTGCCATGACCTCTTTTGGTTTTAGCAAACTTATCCCTTAAGTTTTTCCAAACTTTTTAACAAAAACTTTCTTTCTTTCCCACTGCTGTTGCAATTTCTAGCTAAAAATTATTGTTCATCTAAATTTCGCTATGATCGTACATGTTTAAGAAAAAATCTATTCATTTATATTTGACTCAAATGAAACGTGGCGCAGCACGAACTGTTCGCTGGAAAAAAATTGTGTGTGCCCCGCCAGCCGAAATCATGTCGCAAGCACCTAAAGAGAACTTGCGCAAACTCTGTGATGGCGTCACATGAGTCTGAGTCTCAGAAAGCTAATTAGCTATTGCATGTTGGTCTTATTTGTAGATATAATAACGCAAATTACATTTGGACTAGTGAAATAAAGGACTACAACACCACAAAAACCTTGCAAAAAAATGTAAAATTTAAATGAGCATTAGATGTAAAGTTATAGGAAATACTATTAAAAAATCCTTGCACTGTTTAACATCATGTGGGAAATATTTGAAAAAGAAAACAATTCACAGGGAGGCCTAATAATTTTGACTTCAATTGTAAATGCATGTTTGTTCATGTACAGCAGTAAGATGTGGATACCTATAGTTGGTATGGGCTGCATAAACTCATCCTGCTTCAGTTTGAAGAGAATAGTAGTTTTGCCAGCTCCATCTAAACCTAAAGTCACAACTCGAATCTCCATCTTTGGGCCAATGTGCACACGGTTGTCCTGGAAAAAGCAGAGCAAGTCCTTCATTAACATATCATAACACCAACCCCTCTCAAACAGATTACAATTTCATTAGATTTGAGCATTTTTATTCTGATTAAAGTATTTATATGGCAGATTTCCATTTGGATTGGACATTTAAACAGTATAAAATGTACATGTATATGCACCTGTGCTTCATTAGACAGCTGATGCTGATCAACCACCTCACAATATGCACAAAAATATTTGAAGGTAGTTAATACATTATATGTGCTATTAGATATGGCTGTCATTTACACGCACGTATATAATCTTTCTTTCTGTTTGCTTCTAACTAATTGAAAAGTGGAGACTAGGATATCTAACATGTCACAACTGATAAAAATGTAGTCAAATAATGAGCTGTAAAGAATAATTTATTTTAAATCGTCTATAACTAGGCAAATGACAACACAATAAGCGGGATAATCAATAAAATGCCTCAGTTTAGTGTCGGGTACCCTTCTATTAAATAAAATCTACAGCAGACTGTCACTAAAATAACATGAAAAAAGTAATGATTAATAAAAAATGACTGAAAATAAACTAATGAAAATCAGATATTGCTTTCAAATTTAGCTTTAACAAAAGAAGTATTAAAAAAGTCAAAATAATAATACTGGCCTGCATAAAACTAAACAGTACCAACAATTTTGTCTATGTCTGTCTGTAGCCGCTTTTTCACTTTGGTTCTGAACCATTCTTTATGCCACTCTCTCAGGGTGCTAAACATAAATACATGTCACAGCACCTTTATTTATTTAGATGTAATATGTTGAGCAGCTCTGGGCAAATTTTAAAAATGTAATGTGATGAAAAAAAATGATTGGAGGGGAAATAAATATATTTCAAATCTCTGTACAGAAAAATAAACAATGACAATGCAACAATAATAATGCATTTGTATAATAGTTGCAGAAATATATATTTTGACAGGCCTTGTCAAAAGTCAGCAGGCACTTTCACTAATACAAAATATAACACTAAAATTATTTTATTTAACAATCAGTTAAATTACACAGCGGTTTTATATCAAAAGTAATGTGGTCATTAAAAATCCAATGGCACTTCTCGTGAAAGAGTAGGGGTGTAACCCGGTGTCCTGGCCAAAGTCCCTCAATCGGCCCTTCCTGTCATGGCCTCCCAATCATCCTCATCCACTGAATTGGCTCTATAACGGTCTCTCCACTCCACAAATAGCTGGTGTGTGGTGAGCGCACTGGTGCCGTTGTCCTGTTGCAGCCGTCGCATCATCCAAGTAGATGCTGCACATTGGTGGTGGTGTGGAGAGACCCTGCTCATGATTGTGAAGGGCTTTTGTGTATGGCCATACACAATAAATGCGATATATAAATATACAATACATTACATTACAAGTTGATAATGATATAAAATATACTAGCTATATTTTGATGGTAAAATAACCATTTAAATGATGGCTGTTATTTCTTTCAGCATTCAAACATTAAATAACGAATGCATCAAGTAAAATAAAAACGAATATAACATACAGCGCAATATAAACCATATATAGGACTATTATATTTAGCAAAATGCTGCTCTTTTTATCTTTGTATTTTTGAAATTTTATTTTTGTTATTTTTAATATTTTTTTGTCTTCGTAATTAAAGCTATAGACAAATTCCTGCTTGACAATTTAGAAAATATTTTGCATAGCTACCCAGTATAATGTTAAAGATCACCAAGAACAAAAAAAAAAACCAAACACAAAAATGTGTTACATGGCCCCATAAACATCCAACTTATATTTAACTGAATCATATAAATGGTGAAAATTGCTCTTTTCATTTCAATAAAACATTTGTTTTAGTTTTTTTTAGTAAAAACAATACTCACATTTAGAAATCAACAGCTACATTTGGTAAAGTTCTCTCCCACATCAGACTGAGTTTTTTGCCATCAAAATACAGCGTTGCATGCAATAAACTCACTCTCAGTCAGGCGGAGTAAAGGTCTCATTGCCTAGGATGTCAATCAAATGAATCAAGCCCTAGCCACGAATAAAATAAAAGGCTATTTTATTATTCTAAGATTTTAGATGACGGGTTAGTAATTAGATCATAAATGGTTATATTCAAGTCAATGAAATAATAGCTTTAATAAATAAAATATGTTCATAAGAATGTGGTGGGCTAGTGATTCCCTTCTCTGCCAGAGACTGCTTTATGGTTTTAAAACTTTTTTAAACTGTAACGTTTAGACTTGTATATTTTTTTTATATTAAATGTAGTAGTTTACTTATGGATGTCTGATGTCTAGTGCGCTTCCGCTGAGCCAGCTGTGGTAGCTTGGCAACAGACCGGCGACGTCAACACCCAGAATCTGTCGGCACAGTTCAGCACGTGGACGGAAAACTCCACGGGATGACTGATTTGTAATCGTGATGCAACGTTCTAGGCTCAGTAGAGAAACAACCGCAACCGTAACGAACTGTTCTTAGAACGGTTTGGCATAATAGTGGAAAAGCAGCTTGTGTCTCTTATTTTTATTATTAGGTTTTATAAATGTTTATATTAGTTTTAAATATTTCCTTGGCAACTAGCAGAAACATTTTGTATTTCATTTTTTATTAGCTTTAATATAACTTTTAATTGTATGCTTTTGTTTAAATTAATTATAAATAGATAACATTGATTTACATATTAAACTGCATTAGACTACAGTTTTTTCAACAAATGCCATAGAAAAGGGGTGCCCAATACTTTGATCGGGAACTACCGGTTGATCACAAAGCAAGCATGGGTAGACCGCGTGGCATTCAAAAAAACAGACATAAGCCTATCATCCATCCTCACTGAAATTTGTCGCTTGATTGACATACAGGGAAGCCAGTCCTATATTTGACCTTTTCTGATGCATGGATAACCACACATGCGCATAAAACTATGCCAACAGCATAAATATCATTCCACCATGACTGATAATCATTTGGTAATGTGCTTGAGGCTGGCTATCAGCAGCTACTGTCCGAACTATACTTCCCAGGCTGATTCCATTCAGTGCAAGTCATCAGAGTAAGGTAACGACAAAAATATGTACAGAGTTGTAGGCTTTTGCACAATATGGGTTCATACAGTTATGCAAGGTACATCAATATATATATAGATTGTACAAATACAGGATTCTCAATACAGGATCTCAATATTGTCACAAAAGTAATATATGTTTTGCATTTTTATATTGGGTAGATCAATTTGACTTAGTCATTTTATAAGTAGCTCGCATGCTGAAAAGGTGTGGGCATCCCTGCAAGAGAGCTACAAATACCATTCATCATTTTTTAAAGTTAGTAAATTAAGTTAAAAAATCCATCTTGTACATCACTGACAGTAACATGCATTTCTTTTTCTCTCAACAATGATCTATATGATTAACAGTACCTTAGTGAAAGTAACAGGGATGCCTGCATCCAGCTGAATGTGATCGGCCAGCTCTGTAAACTGCTGCTGCTGTTTCTGCAGTGTCTCCAGCAGCCGGTTGATCTCCTGTTTCGCCAAAACCACCCTGCAATCATCCTGGCACAAAAACAACAAACTCAAATTCCTGATCTTTTGATCATGCTGGTTGTGTGACTTAGCATGCCTTAGATTGTACCTGCTGCAGTGTTTTCTCGCAGTGCAGGCAGGCTGTGGACACCTGAGACAGCAGTATGGTCATATCCTCCTGCTGCTGGCGAAGCCAGATCAGCCTTTCTCGGACGTGTGCGTCCACCACACTCAGAGCCATCTCCTCTTGGCGACACAGTGTCTCATGTAGATCTGCAAAGTAGGCACGCACGCAAGACCGGGCGCTTTCTGCAGTACCTGGAACCTGTGTGGAAACCAATGAGGAGTTTACTGAAAACCTCTGGTGTAAATGCATTAAGAAAAAGACTATGATTACTCAAAAACGTGTTCATACATGTTCAGTGTGAGCGATGCCCATGCTGTCCTCCACAATCTGCTCTCCTCCTTCTATCTGCTGCACAATGCCCACTAGTTTCCTGGAGTACTCCGACACTTCCTCTGTGAATGTGCGAATGCAGTGCGCCATATCCAGGATAGACGCTCGAATCTGGTTGGCTTCAGCCTCTAGTACAGCATGCTGGTTTAAAAAGGAAAGATTGGTGTATTAAGCAAAGTTTTATTTTTTACAAAGTATGATAAAATGTATTTATATTTTAAAGCAGACCAAATATTTAATGGTTTCAGCTTAAGTTCCTCATGTTAAATTGAGAGATTGAATTGATCTTAGATTCTCAGATTATAAACTTGTATCAACCATCAAGTTAAAAACAATTATTTTTTATTCAATACAACAAACAACTGATGATGTAACCCTTAATCATTATTGGCGAAGTAAAGAAATACTAGTGATGCATCTTGTTTTAATACTAAGAATTCATTATTATTCATTTATAATATTATTATTATTATACTTTGAATTTGAAATCGTCAATTTAAGACAATAAAATAAACAAATGTTGTTTTCCATTTTACTTCAGTTAATTTCATTAATTCAAATAATTATTTTCATGACTTATAAGATACAACATTCATATGTGAAACTTTTAGTAGACCTGCTTCAGATTTATTAGAACAGAAACAACACCAACATAAATGATTACTTTAAAGTCACATTTCAAGCTATTTCAATGTAGTTACAATAAGCAAAACTTAACCAACACATCTAAAACTATTAGGGATTCTTACGATAATAATAATGCAATAATATTAATAAACTTTACAAATACAAGTATTGAAATTGGGAATGAGAGCCATCCTAAACCAAGGAATACATGCCAATATTTAACCCTAAAGTCCAAACAATACTTCAGTGTTTTACAGGTATGCTAGGTTACGCAAACAATGTGTATGATGCAAAATTTGTCATCAGTACAGTATGAATTAGGGTTGGACGATATGGTCAAAAAAATGTAATCCCAGTATTTTTAGGAGGAATGACAGTATACAATAGATGGCCAGTATTTTCCCATAAATTTTTACTTGAGATTTAAAATCTTTATTAAAACTATATTAAACAGTTTTTGAGCAAAACTTAATTCAAACGCAGGTTTCTCTCCCTGTTTACAAATAAACAGCTGCACAAAAATAAAAGCTGCCGAAAATCTTTGATAAATAAAATACTGTACATGTTTTCTCCTGCTTAAAATTATGCTGCACAACACTTCCAAATTATATTAAAAAATCTTTGATAAATAGTACAGGGTTTTTTATGTCTACTGTGCTGCTGTGCAAATAACAAAGTAAACAGAACCATTGAAACCATAGCTACATTGTCAGGGCAAAAAAGAAACACACTTAAATAGTAACACAACAAAAAAGTATTACAGATGTTACTACTTCAATGTGTTCCTTATGCCGCCATTCATACCGCGGCGACGGCGGTACTTGATGCGCCAGCAGCTTTTGACCGCTGGGTGGCAGTTTAACCACAGATATTCAGCTTTGCCTTTTCACAACACTAAACAGACTTTTCTGTGCGTACCTTATGTGATCAGATGTGTTCAATTAAAATATAATTTTGATTTAGTTTTCTTATAGTGATAAACATGATCTTACCAGGGCTTAAAGTATTCCGGCACCATGCCGGATCTACGGCGTGCGGCCGTGAGAGAAAAAAAAAATAGAGCTTGCACATGCGGTTTAGTTGGGGATGCTCAAAATAACTGATTAAGCAATAACCGAAAGGGTGCGTTTGTAACCGATGAATGGTATCAGTTAAACGATTAAAATATGCTTTATACATTTTTAAAGTTTGGCTGCATACGGGGCATCTGTTTAATGGTTTACTGACTGCCGCCAGTGTTTTACGCTCTGCTTATGCTTGCTCAGCGGGCTTTAAGTTTTGCCGTTGCGCTGTGTGCTCGAGTGGAAAAAGCGTGTTACCTCTGTTTCATTGTTCAGTCAAATGAAAGCACTGCAGGCTTTCTGTTGAGGTGACAGCGGGGTTTGGGTTGTCAATGTGAGTACGATAAACTTTTAAAGATTGAGGAGAGACTTGTGGTCGCTGTTTCAAGTTATCCAGAGCTGTATTTATAGATCTTAAATATCACAATATTATTAAAATTACAATTATAACATCGACAGCAACTCGACTCGCGCACACCAGCTAATTCAGTCGTTTTCTAGTGACATACAAAAGAGGCTTATTTTTTTCTTGTCAACCATAAAAGGCAGCGCGGTACGTCGCGCGTTTTTGCAACGTAAAGGCGTGCGCTTTGTGATCGGCCCCTAAATGTACAACAAATATTTGTTAACTCTTGGGATGGTAACACATGCAAACACACGTTTCTACAGACAAATTTTGCCAAAGAAGCAAAATGAAAGAAGGATATTTCTCGTCACAGTTTCACACAGTGTTGACAATAACCAGCGCTGATGCAGATCACCTCTGTGCTGTATGGAGCCGCTTCATAAACTTAAAAAAAGCAGGCTGTTGATGATTTAGGGTGGGCTACAACCAACAAACCCCTTTTTTATTTATTTTTTTATTTTTTGAAAATTACAGTTATTAATAGTTCTTATATAATATCAGCTTTTAAAATAGCCTACAATCTACGAATCAAACAAATCCAAAGATTTTCTTGATTTTTGTATAATAATAACTCCGCACCAAACTGAGGCTTTCATTTTATAGCTTAAAACATGTATGCAAATGTATGCAATCTCATATGTAAGGGCTGTGACGGTCACCGTGACGACAATCACTCTAGAACACACATTTTCTGTTTTGTTGCCAAATAGCCTATACATTTATGAACATAACGTTAACTTAGACGTGATACAGCAAGTTCAAGTTCAGCCATGAACCTTGCCGGAAAACTTATATTACATCGCCAATCTGGAAACATTTTGGATTCGTGGCGAACGAGTAAGGCGAATCAATAATTAGGATGAAGCTATTTGTAGGGCTTGTTTAGAAAAATAAGTGTTAAATGGACAAACACGTCGAACCTCCATAGCCATCTGTGGTAATGTCACCCAGCCATGACATGCGGAGCCAGCTCCGGTGTCATCTACTGAACGCAAATGCCCAGCTAGTCAGCCAGGTATGGTAGAGAGGCCTTTTCAAAAATGGGCAAATACAAAAGAGAAACTGATAAATAGTAGACGTTGATGAGAAATGGAGCAGCATATTTGGTAGTTGAGAACGCGCCGATCCACAATGTAGAGCTGGTTTCCGAGAAATGCAGGCGGCGGAGCAAGATACTCTCTTTGCCACGGTTGCGAAAAAGTATCTGTATGGGCTACAGGCACACAGTCTCAGTGCTGCTGGAAACATTGTAATCTCAAATAAGTCTCCGCTTAAACCGAACAAAGTCAACATGTTAGTTTTTCTGGCAAATAATTTAAAATATGAATAGAAAAAAAGGCAGAGAGACGCAGTTTTTTTTCCAACATCTGACTTATGTTGTTACAAGCCTATAGGCTAATATTTTTGTTCTTCGTTACTATTTATATTATTATTGATTAGTATTTGAGAAGTTTCTAAAATGTAACGTTTACTGTTTCAAGCAGTTAAAGTTATTTAATATTTAACTAGCCTAGGCTGTATTGTGTTGTTTTATCAACGAAAGTTAAAAAACAAACATGTTCGTTTGTACGAATATTTAGCATAATACTTTGGTCTTTTTTTATTTCTTAATTTTACATGAAATGTAAATTAACTTTGGTAGGCTACTTGGGTACAGGGGCGTAATTTGTTGGTAGTATACCGAGGAATGTTTAGACAGTGAATATTGTTATCATTATTTAAAAAAATTATAAATAAATAAATTAAATAAAAAAATAAATAAAACACCTTACGGAAAGGATGCAATGAAGGAAAATCATGCTCTTAATCATTCTTCATAATCTGATTCGTACCCTATACATGCAATAAACTTATATTGCGCCAACAAGAACAAGCTCTAAAAGGTAAAGTCTAAAGCAAGAGGAGTTATTGATATGATATTAATGTTAGTTGTTAATATTAATGATCGTAAACACGACCTGCGTTGTATAATAAACGGCGTCATTGTGTCCTGTCTGCGATTTTTTTTCTCGTTGAAGAACAGAAAATTCATGTTGTCACCATCTTCCCAGCCAGGTTTTCATCCACAGTTTCCGCTTTTGTTTCTTCTCAAACAATAAAGTTTCGCTATAGCAGGCCCGGCGGCAGGATATCATAACTGAGGGCGCAAGGGCGCAATCCCATTGCACTTGACGACTGAATTTGGTCCTTTCTTGTTCCTTTTATTTAGGCTATTTATTAATTCATTACTTTGCATTACCGATATAGTCCTACTTTTTATAGTAATAATAATATGCAGTTTTGCTATTACCGATTTTATTAATGAAGGCAACGATACCGTTTACATTAATGCAGAAAGATAATGTTAAGCACCAAACAAGTGGTTTAAATTATGTTAGTCTCTTTATTTCTTTCCGTTTTATTTTAAACATTATAAATGTGTAAAGTTTTAGGTAAAGACGTCAAAATACGCCCACACATGCAAGCTAAACTAGATCATCTGAGTCATCACGCTTTATTACTCAACCAAAATCAGCGAGGAAAAAATAAATGTTTTAAATTAAATTATATTTAAATGTTACATTAAATAAAAAAAGTAAATTTAAATGTTAAATGCCATTTAAAAATAGTTTCTAAAATTAATGTGTTACTTAGTTACATTTTTAGGCATTAGTGTAGCCAAACAGAAAGCCATGTCTACCTATATTATTCAGCCTGCAGCGCAAGAGGTGGATCCGCGGTAAATCCACACGCACTAAATAGCCTACCTTTTTCTTTTACAACACTGTAAACATAACTTCGCAGGTCGATCATCTTTAAACGCAAAAGACATTTTTAAGTGTCCTAAATTGACTGCTGCTGTAGAAGGGGATGTTTTTTTTACATAACTGTAAACGTGTGCTTTAGCTATGCCAAAATGAAAGCAAATATTTTGTTCTGCGTTGTCAATTGTATAGCTTAATAATAATAATTAAAATAATAATAATAATAATAATAATAATAATAATAATGGATATAATAAATTATAATATTATTTATAGTATAGACATTTTTACTAGGCTACTTTA